AGATGCCATTGGACAAGCTGTCCTCTGGGGCAAGTTGGAATCGGACAAGTTGGGCTGGGACAAGTTGACTTGGGGCAAAATGACATGTAACCATTTATGAGCCCGATTAAATCACCTATTACGCGTTAATTGCACGAAGATATCGTGCATTATTTATCCCAAATTGCCATTATCAAAGCTACGTGACTTCACAAAAATTTATGATAAGTGAAATATTTCTGAGCTAAGGGCGTTAATTACTTTAAAGTGATAAAAAATCTCGTTAAAATTGGTCAAATAAAAAAAAATGTCTGAAAAAACAACAACGAGCACAAATACTCCATCCTTTCTTCAAATTTTTTAAACAAAAACTTAAATGGGCCAATAGAGTTATTAAAAACACAGCTAAGAGACAGCTGAAAAATGTCAAACGCCAGAAAAAACAGAAAACACTGACATAATTTTTTTTTTGAAAAAATCGAACTTCGAAGAGAAAAATAGATGGCCTTGAATAATTTATGATACACTTTTTTGTTAAATTAGCCCAGTTTGAAAAAAAGGGGCCAAAAGGATAATCTTTATTTCGCTCTAAAACCTGATAAAAATCCATCCCAATTCGAACTAGAAGCCAATCACGTTTTTCGTGACCTTAAAAAGTTTGGCTGTTGGATAGAGGAAATTGCTTTCCTTTTAACAAAGGAAATAAACAGAACTTAAGAAATCCAAAAAAACTAATTTGAACAAAATTTAACATTTGCCTGGAAAAACAAAAAAAATCATCAAGACCTATATAAGAGTTTTAACTAAATTCATCAACTCTTTAACGCAGCCAACTGAAGCTGGACAAAAAAATGGCTATGAACTCACGGAAACCAAAAAGAAATCATATTAAAAATTAGCGACAAGACTTGTATACTTATAACTAAGAGCCACTGAAAATATGAATAAGGATTTACATCAACTTTAAATCCAAAATACTACAATCTTTTTCTACAAAATATACGCTAATTGGAGCGAATAAGAATGAACTGGATGTAGTGCTTCAGTAACTAAAATTGAAGCCTTTTTTTGTTGTTCTAATGGAAACTTGGCTAAGGAATATCTTATCTTAAGATGTTTAGATGTTTTGCCAAAAAAGATTTTAAACACATTGCTACATGTAACAGAATCGAAGGTAGGGGTGGAGGGATAGCAATTCTTTCCAGGGAACAAAATCTTTTTAAATTTATGAAATGTACAGACTCAAAGAGAATTCAATTTCATGCTGTCTCGACGATCTGCAACAAACAATGTTTGACTGCGGTGCACAAGTTACCCGGTGCAAACAAGGACAATTTTCTTGAAGATTTATTGAACCATATGGCTGAACTAAAAACTGACGCTTAAGACAAACAAATAAATAGTGGCGATTTTAATATAGATGTTTCAGTTGCGAAACAAGACAGCGCGGAACTCATTGAAAAATTGGAATTACTTGATTTTAATTTTATATCAGAACGCGCTAAAGAACACAAGTTACATATAACACTCAAAAAATCCTAGATTTGGCATTTGCGAATTTTCCGAGCAACCTTGAGATTAATGAACACGTAATCACTGATCATTATGGTGTTGAAGTTGACTTCAAAAATAGCCTTTTGGAAAATCGTGAAAAGGCAGAATTTAACAAAAGTTATGGAAAACTGCAATATCAAGAATTCAAAATTAAATTCAAATGGTTCATAAAAAAAACTAGCCGATTTTGAATTTTAAGGTAGTAAAATTTGTATAAAAAGTGAGTTTCCGCAGCAGCAAGTACAAAACACTCTGGATAAAAAGTTCAAAAAAAAGAAAATCAAAAAGCTGAAGATCGAATAAAATCAAAATGAGGGTACGTTAGAGGTAACGCAAAAACTGAAACAGCAAACTGTCAAAACCAAAAAAAATGGTTTTAGAAAATGAAATGATTTTTTAAACGGCTGATTATTTGAGGCAACTGGACAACCCAAGAAAGTTTTTTTTAATTATGCGAAATATATTAAAGGCGAGAATAAAAGCAAAACAGTTACAGGCGAGAATAAGAAAGGAACAATTGTTGTCACAATCGGTCCAAAATTGTGAATTTCAAAAGAAAAGTGATTTTACTGAAAGTATAACAAAAACATCTTTCTTCGGGGCACAAATTAAGGGACAGGAAGTTCATGACACTATGAAGCAATTGCCCCACAAAAACTCTAAAAATGACAGTGTCTGCTAAACTACCTGATCAAAATAATTAACCCTATTACAACTGCTTATTTTAAACCAGCGTATCAGCGAAGCCGTTTAATACATTTGACTAAGAAGTGCGAAAACCATTTCATTTCCATTAAATGATAGACCAATTTCTTCAATTCCTGTTATCAGAAAAATTTGAAAAAACTTCGAGGTAATTTGCAATAAACAGTTTGGATTTCCTAACAACGTTCTATAATTGATGCTTTTGTTAAAATTTTAGGTATTATTGAAAGCAAAATACTGATAAACTGGCACACAGCACGCTCTTAGATCTATCTGAAGCCGTCGATATTGTGGATCATCATCACACTCTGGTTCAAAAAAGTCTTCTTTACGGGCTGAGAGAATAAAGATACAATAGGAAACGAAATGAAGTTAAACAGAAATCAATGTCGACCAAAAAAAATAAACAAAAGCCGGAACAAATTTTCAGACTTTTGATGAAAAAAAAACATCGCCACCTACGTTCACAGACTGTTAATAAAAACAACTCAGTTCATTTGTTCAATCATTAAATTTTACGTATACGAGCTATTGAAATTACTCTCTGTAGTAATAAGACGAGAACATGCAAATGACAAACCGAACAATTTCATTCCAAATCAAGCATGAGACAAATCTTAGAATTAGACATACGAAGAACAAGACTTGATACCACTAGAAAAATAAAATCACCATCATCCAAAAAAAATAACAGCAAATGACAAAAAGTAATCTCTGCGCGAAAACGGACACCGCACAATTCTCTAAATAGTTTTAATATGAAAAAGAGATACTTATTTGATTAATTGCGACTACTTCGGAAAATTATCTTGGTAGAAAAAGCATTGCAATGTTTAAATACAAAATCATTGGATCATAAAACACACACCCGAAACAAATTGTATTGATTGAAATGAAACAATTCAAACAAAAAAATTCTTCTTAAAAACTTAAGAAGATGCAATAGCATTTTCTTAAAAACTTAACAAGATCAAAATATCCCTTAAAAACATAAACAAGATAAAATAGAATTTAAGTATAAGAGATCACAATTTCTATTTGTTTAAAAAAAATTCTTTATAGATGAATCTCAGCGGCGCTTCCACAACTTGAATAACCTTTTGTGCTTGCTCAATTTGGTGCTCTTTCAACGATAATTTTTCTTTATTTTTCGATTATTGCACAACTTGGAACAATTTTAATATGATTATTATAGAAAAGTAGTTCGAAAATTCTACTCAAAAAAGTCTCAGCAGGCTATCAGATTGCACATTTGTATAAGCTAAAACAATTTCAATTTGAACAAACATAGCCAACTGTTTTACAACAGAGTAATAAATGCAAGGAAACAGACAAAACCACTGAATTGTTTTATGAAAAACTAAAGGCTTTTATGATAAAATTGACCCAATTTGTGGAAACTGGATCAATAGGTAATTTTTTTTTCGTTAGGAAATCTGATAATTAAAAAACTCCACGTTCGAAACCATTTAGTGGCCGAAAATGTTAGAAACAGAGGCGAAGCTGTGCTTCGCAAACACTTGCGAGAACACGAAAGCAGCTCTATCGAGTTAAAAAAGAAAAAGTAGCAAAATGTCTCGAATTAGCAAAAACTCGGCTACGTGTAGGATTCGAATCAGCGATCAAGAGATTTTGAGTCTCACGCACTATCCCCTCAGCCACTCAAGCTTAATACCAGAGGAACACTAGTCACAAATAAAGCGGCTAATATGCTAACAAATTGCCAATGCGATTCAGCAATAATTACAAATAGACACAGTAATTAAAAAATTGGGAACTAATTAAACTGAAGGCATGCACACTAAATTTGCATGTAACAAATCGCAAAGCAAAAAGCCACATTATGTATAAGTTATTCAAAAAAGTCTCAGCAGGCTATCGGATCGCACATTTGTATAAGCTAAAACAAATTCAATTTGAACAAACCTAGCCATCTGAGTAAAAACAAAGTAATTAACGCAAGGAAACAAAAAAAACAATGACGTGTTTTTTTTAGAAAACTTCAAGCTTTTATGATAAAATTGACCCCATTTGTGAAAACTGGATCAATAGATAGTTTCTTTTCGCTGGGAAATCTGATAATTAAATTCCACGTTCGAAAACATTTAGTGGCGGAAAATTTTAGACACAGAGGCGAAGCTAAACACTTGCGAGAACACGAACAAAGCTTCCAATTAGCAAAAACTCGGCTACCTGTAGGATTGGAATCTGCAACCAACAGATTTTGAGTCTCACGCACTATCCCTTCAGGTACTCAAGCTCAACACCCGACGAACACTAGTCACGAATAAAGCAGCTACATATGCCAACAAATTACCAATGCGATTCAGCACTAAAGGCAAATAGACTCAATTTTGCAAATACGTTTTGAAAAAAAACTAACTTTGCACACAACAAATCACAAAGCATAAATCCACAGTATCTATAAAATATGCATTTCAAAAATTGCGAGATATATTGGGTTAGAAAATTTCTGAAATCGAGTGTTTATGACTGTGATGTTGTTTGAAACATATAGCTTTTTTCGATTCATTTGATGAACTAAAAATGCATCAACTGTGTTAATTTATTTCTATTCGAATGTCAAAACACATGCTAATAAAAAGCTGAAAAGGTGCCCCACCATAAAAAAGCCGCACCAATACTTGGAAAAAAAAGGAGGTTCGTACTAACACACTAGCTTTGCAAGTGTAAAGAGACGATACAAGTATGGACAATTTTTGACGGTGATTTCAACCAGATACTTAAATAGCGATGCTTACCTCTATCTCTCCTGTAGACAGTCCCAGTGCCAGGTACTCCTTGTTCGGAGAGAAATCACAACTCATAATTGACAGAGAAGTCTCCGATCTCTTTGGTCTGTGAAGTCGCTCGTAGATATCATGTCTAAACGAACACAATTTTCATGGTAGAGTTTATGATTTCGCATAATTATATCTAGCAGTCAAATTTTTCGATTTATGACTATATCGTACAAGGTTAATTAATTATAAACATAGCCAACAGACAGTTGGAAAACTGTTAATGATTGCAAGCGAACAGCAAAAAAACTAACGACTTCTTTTTTGATAAACTTCATCTTTCGAACTTCAAGGAAAATTGTATGCCCTTAAAGCTATTTGAATTTCAAGAAGATTTAATGATTGACACTTTTTGGTAAAATTATACCAAATTCAGAAAAAGGATCTTTTTTCATCTCATTGCGAAATCTAAAAACTGAAATCCAGTTCGAAACTAGAAATTGGTCATGTTTTTGCGCCATATCCTCTTTCTTAATTTGAGAGCGAATTTTGCCAACCTATTAGCAAAGGAACTTGAATTGAACTCAAAAAGAGCACATATACCTTAGGGCATTCAAAGATACATTAATATGTAAGAATGCACTTCTGTGTTTATTAGAGCAATTTGAAACTTTTCCTAAAAAAGAAAGAAAAATCATTACAACCTATAAAAGAGTCTAAACTACGTTAATAGACTCTTAAACACAACCAACAGGAGCTGGATAAATAAGTGTCCATGAACTCACGAAAACCGAAAAAAAATTCAGTGAGTTTGCCTACTGTCAGGAACGTGATGTTCCTTAATTGAATAGCTCAGGTCAAAGTATTTGCGCAGGTCACAGTATAGCGCAGGTCACAGTATAGCGCAGCTCACAAACTTTCGAACTTCACAATATTTGGAAAACGCCAAAAACACCGTAGTTGAAAATCCAAAAGAACAGTTAAATAATGATCATATTGAAATGCATCAAATTTATACCTTTTCGACGCTATATGCACCATCAATATATTCCACCTATTTCATTTTAGCTGTCGAACTGAATTCTCAATTTAAACAGTTCATCCAAAGAATATAGCCAACAGACAGTTGGAAAAGAGTCAACAAACGCATATAAACAGAAAAAAGTGCCTTTTTAAATCGAATTTCAAAGTCAATGAAACCTTCGAACTTCAAAGAAAAAAGTAGATGGCCACTAAACCTTATTAAATTTCTTGAACAATTTATGATTGAAATTTTTTCATAGAATTAACCCAATTTGAGGAAACTGAATATTAATTTTTTATTTCGCTGGAAATCTGAAAATTAAATTCCACTTTCGATCTAGAAATCGATCACGTTTTTTGTGACCTTTAAGCTTTACCTCGATAGTGGAGATTGCCTTCCTTTTAACAAAGGAAATGAACTGAACTTAATAAAAATTCAAAAGTCAAACCGCGAGACAGTCAAAAAATGTTTTACATTGAATGATATAACTCAAAGTTATCGCAGACATATTTCGACAAAAAAAGTCCAAAAATTCAAATAAACTATCGAAAATTGCCAACGCAAGTAAACGAGTCACTGAATGCAAGTTAACAAAAACACGCTGATTATTTTTTCATCTTTCGAATTTCCCAGAAAAATGGCCTTGAATTCCTATGATCTTTTAAAAAAAAATGTTTTGATTGACATGTTTTGATAAAATTAACCCAATTTGAGAAAACTGGATCAATATGAATTTTTTTTTATTTCGCTGGGAAATCTGATAATTAAATTCCATTTTCAAAAGTAGGAGTCACTTACGTTTTTCGTGACCGTTATACTTCGATTGTGGAGTTTGGTTTCCTTTTAAGTAAGGAAATGAATTGAACTTAAAAAATCAAAAGCCAAACCGCGAAAAAACAAAAAAATTTGAGCCTGAACAAATTTTCAGTCTTTTCCTGAAGAAAAAAATCATCGTGACCTATAAAGAGTCTGATCTATGTTCATCGACTCTTAACAAGAAAAGCAGAATAAATCCGTCGTATCAGGACCACACGCACAGCAAATAAAAAAATATCTTGAATTTATCATTCTTCTGAATTTAAAAAGAAATCAATAGTTAAACGGCGAAAAATCAAATTAGAAAAAAAATCATCACGACCTCTATCAAAGTCTTCACTTTTTGAACTAAAAATGAATCTTCTACTGCCCACTCCTGAAATTTAGATTAATTGTACGTACCATACTTAAAAGGTTCATATGCAGATCATTATTGGTTTGAAATGTGTAATAAACAAAATGAGCACAATTTTTAAACAAAAAAATCGCAGGTGGTAGAAGAGCAATATGAAATCGACAACAGTCGAGTAAAAGTAACTTGGCTCTCCAGTTTTTCAAAAATTTATTGACTTGTTCACGCTTACACGTTTTATTGTAGCTTGGAGAATCAAAAGTCATTTAAAATGGACTTTTGTTATTTGCACCTTGAGACAGTAACTTACACGTCGAATGTCTGCAGTAGCGTGAGGACGCCACTGGCTTCCAATTTACTGTTCGTCTGAGCTGAGATCGCATCTGGCAATTTTATGGAAGCACTCGACTGGCGTCCCTTCAGAGGGTCCCGGAAAGATTCCGCATTCTACACAAAAAAAAATGGAATTAAAACTTTTCTAGCTGATATCGATAATTTTTTACCAGCTGAAGATTATTTGGCTAGGTTCTTTTTCCTCTCCCCCCCCCCCACCTCACTCAAACATGAATTTTATACTCTAACGAGTGGTTTTACAAGGTTAATTATGAAGACCAAATATGTTTGTCATGGCCTAATTAGTCTTCATGTCAATTTTCATGAACATCGGAAGAAGCGAACAGTAACTTCAAATATAAAATTTTGCAGGTGGGGGGGGGGGGGGGGAGGAAAAAGAGCTTTTGGCTAGGACCCACATGAGGGGTAATGCCATTAAATTGTTAGGAATAGTTTAAAAGGCTATTTTCCACTTCCCCAATCTTACAAATATTCAATTTTATAGTTGTTATACGTGTAATTATGGTTAAACGCGTAAAGTAACGATGTAATGTATGAAAACAAATCTGTTCACAATTTTTGGTTTGTTCACCATGCCAAGTCTCATTGCATTGTGACAATGTTAAAGTGGTTTTTCAAAATAGAAATAGAGGTGAGGGGGGAGTGGAAAGGAGCTGTTAAACGCCCATAAGATAATTAAAAAACCAACTTCGAGAAGCCGCGAAGAGCCCCAATATTCTGACTGCCGCTTTAACGTCTATGAAATTAGAAAAAAGACGGGCTCTTTTCCAGTTCCCCCCTTTCAAAATACCGAGTTTTATGTATGTGTTACGTGTTATTACGGCTAAATGCGTGATGTTACGCTGTAAAGTATGAAGAACAAATCTGTTCAAAATTGTCGATTTGTTCACCACGCCAAATTTCATTGCATTATGACAACGTTAAATAAGCTTTTCAAAATTGAATTTGAAAGGGGGGAAACTGGAAAAGAGCCTAAAGACGTAATAAAAACTCAACAACAAAAAACTGAAATTTAGTGTTTTGGTTTTGAAAAACCCCCCACTTACGTTATGCTAAGTACAAAAGGTTTTCGACACGTAACGCATTACTAAATTTAAAATCGCGCTATCCGTTAATGGAAAACGAATAACTTGCAATAATTACCTCAATTTTGCATACCTCAATCCCCTTATTTTTGACTTGTTCGCGCTTAAAACTGTTTCTGAAATAATTGGAAAAATTGAAACATTTTTCGTGTATTGGCATCGTAAGCATCGCTGGTTTGCATGCAATTTGATCTGTTCTCGCTAGACTTCTTAGCGAGAAAAAAACGTAACTAATGAGTTTTCTGGTGAACGAAGAACAGTGTGTGAAAAAAGACGAAAACTGAATGATTGCAACAAAGTTCACAAATTGTTCAGGCGCCATTTCGGCTCTTTTCCAGTTTCCCCCTTTCAAATTCAAATTTGAAAAGCTTATTTAACGTGGTCATAATGCAATGAAATTTGGCATGGTGAACAAATCGACAATTCTGAACAGATTTGTTCTTCATACTTTACAGCGTAACACCACGCATTTAGCCGTAATAACACGTATAACAAACATAAAACTCGGTATTTTGAAAGGGGGGAACTGGAAAAGAGCCGCCATTTCAAAGTTCACAAGTTGTTCAGGCGCTGTTTTAAAGTTGATTTTTAAATGTTTTCATTTTGCGTATTTTATGACATTGAATTCTGCTTTTAAATACCGAAATTTATGTCAGTTCGATATTCTTTGTTGACTTGTAATTACCGATAATTACGGTTAATTTACGTATGAAATGAAATGTTGTAAATCAACCAGCTACCCGAAACCGATCTACCTCAGAACCGAATCGAGGCAGAAATAAGATCAATACAACAAAACACAGAAATTGAACCCAATTGAGTTCAATTAGGTTGGAAGAATAGCAATCTAGCAGTCGTTGGCTTGCTTGTGTGAAAATTCAATTTCAAAACTACAATTCAAATAACTACCAGTGACGAATATTGCAGGTGGGGAGGGGGGGGGGAGAGGAAAAAGACCCAAGCAGCCTATTTAGTCCGAATACTAATAACAACCCACGAGAATTTTTTAAGCTGGGACGCTCTCCTTCGTTACTGCACATCTGGGCTTGGTTTGTGCTTCTATAATAACGAAGGAGAGCCTCCCATGTAAAAAGCTCTCGTGGGCTCAACAATTCGGCTCTTTTCCAGTTCCCCCCTTTCAAAATACCGAGTTTTATGTTTGTTTTACGTGTTATTACGGCTAAATGCGTGATGTTACGCTGTAATGTATGAAGAACAAATTTGTTCACAGTTGTCGATTTGTTCGCCACGCCAAAATCATTGCATTTTGATAAGGTTAAATAAGCTTTTCAAATGTGAATTTGAAAGGGGGAAACTGGAAAAGAGCCAACAATTCTATAAAACAATGCATAGCTCCTCGTCTACCGTTCCCACTACATGCTATGATGCTATGATCACACATTTAACGGTGCAGCTAATGATATTATGAATGAAAAGTAGATGACACGTGAACAGAATTAAATGGTATCAAAACTGTCGGTTAGTGGAGATACTAGAACCATAAATCGAGTCCTCCGTCAACTGCTGGCCATACGGTAGCCCCCTGTCCCTCTTCCGAGTTGAAACTCATCCCCATTTTACAATATTGGCAAAACAATGTTTAATAATTGTTTAGCTTCTGTTCCTTGATTTTTTGACAAATCTGGAATGAAGTTAAACAAGCCACAATCATGAACGAAAAAAACTTGGCACCCTCTCTATTTGAACCTGTTTGCTATTCGTATTTCGTTGTTTATCCGGCGGATTCTCTCGCACTCCCCCACATGCTAAATTGACCAGATTGGGATTGAGATGCTGGGCTAATTGGGCTCTCCGTTTGCCAAACTGGTGCCTCAGAGCTTCTATTAGTTCGGGAGTGAACTGGAACTTTCCAGGTGAAACTACTGGCTACCAGATTTGGGACAATTTTTTGATACATTGCTACTTGTTTTATTTGAACAAAAAAATTGCATCAATATTATTAAAGTTTATTGCTCTACCGCCCTAATCTACTCCCAGCCGCCAAACTTTTGAATCATAAATTAGCCATTTTTCGGCAAAATTTGGCTCTTTTCCACTTCCTCTCCACGGCTCTTTTTCCTTTTCCCCACCTCATACGAGCATCAATTTTATGGTTTAACGAGTGGTCTAACAACGTTGATTATGAAGACCTAAAATGTTTGTCATGTCCTAATTAGTCTGCATCGCAACTTTCATGGACAATTGGACAATGTGAACAGTAATTTTAATTATAAAAATTTCGGGTGGGGAAAAAGGAAACATTTGAATTTGAAAACCCATGTTATAATGCAACAGAACTTGTCTCTTTTCCAGTCCCACAACTTTGATTTTTTTTCTGAAATGCATTATACGAAAGTCTGGCTCTTTTCCAGTTTCCCACCCCCCTCGTAAAATTACAAAACAAACCTGTTCATAAATTGTTCACACGGCAATTTGCATGTTAGAAATGTTGTAGAAATTTGTTCACCTGTTCACGCTGACACGTTTTATTGCAGTTTATAACATCAAAAGTCATTTTAAATAGACTTTCATCAAATGGATTTCAGAAAAAAGCAAAGGGGGGAACTGGAAAAGAGCCGAAAGTCTATTTAAAATGACTTTTCATGTTATAAACTCCATTAAAACGTGTCAGCATGAACAAATTTCTACAACATTTCAATTTGTCGTGTGAAAAGTTTTTGAACAGCTTTGTGTTGTAATTTTACGAGGTTTGGGAAACTGGCAAAGAGCCAAAACTTTGCCTGGTGAACAAATTAACAAGTGCGTGGAGTGGAGAAGAGCCGAGGTGGGAAATTGAAAAAATTATATGAAAACTTGAATACACAATTTAACGTTATACAATAGTCGGACTGGCTCTTTTTCCTTTTCGCCCCCACCTCACATGAGCATCAATTCTATGGTCTAACGAGTGATTTTACAAGGTTAATTATGAAGACCAAATATGTTTGTCATGGCTTAATTTATTTGCATGTCAATTTTCATTACAATCGGACAATGCGAACAGTAATTTTATTTATAAAAAGTTGCAGGTGGGGGTGAAAAGGAAAAAGAGCCGTCGGACTATAAGATTATAACTTACACGATGTTACCATTCATTAGTTATGAATTTTCAAAATTTGCAAGGTGTGTCGGGATTTCAAGACTATAGACTATATCAAGTTATTCTGTAGAAAAACTGAATTGTAGCAATGTACGCTCTTGGTTGCTCATGACAAGGAGTTTTCATTGAACTAATCAGCACGTGTAAAAATACGAATCAGCAAATGTCTCTTGCAGTTCCCTTCCCTTGATTTCACGAATTTCAAATAATCTTCAAAACTAACATAAGACCTATTTACTGCCCGTTGCTGTGATATTAACACTATGTAATTATCGCATAAAATTCATGACGTATTTTCAAATTATGACTCTTTTTCCTTCAATCTCCCCCCCCCCCCCCCCCCCACCTCACACGAGCTTCAATATATATATGTGTAACGAGTGGTTTTAAGAAGTTGAGTATGAAGACCAAATATGTGTGTCGTGGCTTTATTAGTCCGAATGGAAATTTTCATTACAATCGGACAATGTGGTCAACAATTTTACACGTAAAAATTTGTAGGTGGGGGAAAAAGGAAAAAGAGCCCAAATTATCTACCATGCTCATGGGTAGCATAAGCGAGCTGAATTTAAATTCAAAATAAAAAAATGCCCTATCTGTTTAGCCATTGGTGTCGCAGTACTTCATTTTGCGTGTTAGAATGCTTAATGATTTTTCATAAACATTCAAGTGATAATAACAACTTTGATCCCGAAAAAGATCACAAGTTCCATTGAAGATTCTGCAGATGCAAAAAGCACTTCTTCAGAAAACGGCAAGCCTTAACTTACAGCGGCGAAGCAGATCATTGCATGACAAACTAGAAGACACGACGTAAATTGGCTCTTTTCCAGTCCCCCCTTCGACTTTTGTTGAAGTCCAATTTATGAAAGTCATTTTTAAATAACTTTTCATGTTATAAGCTGCAT